GCAAGGAAACACGTGCCGTCATCATTGCTTTGCACAAAAAGGGCTTCACAGGCAAGGATATTGCTGCTAGTAAGATTGCACCTAAATCAACCATTTATCGGATCATCAAGAACTTCAAGGAGAGAGGTTCAATTGTTGTGAAGAAGGCGTCAGGGCGCCCAAGAAAGTACAGCAAGCGCCAGGACCGTCTCTTAAAGTTGATTCAGCAGCGGGATCGGGGCACCACCAGTGCAGAGCTTGCTCAGGAATGGCAGCAGGCAGGTGTGAGTGCATCTGCACGCACAGTGAGGCGAAGACTTTTGGAGGATGGCCTGGTGTCAAGAAGGGTAGCAAAGAAGCCACTTCTCTCCAAGAAAAACATCAGGGACAGACTGATATTCTGCAAAAGGTACAGGGATTGGACTGCTGAGGACTGGGGTAAAGTCATTTTCTCTGATGAATCCCCTTTCAGATTGTTTGGGGCATCCGGAAAACACCTTGTCCGGAGAAGACAAGGTGAGCACTACCATCAGTCCTGTGTCATGCCAACAGTAAAGCATCCTGAGACCATTCATGTGTGGGGTTGCTTCTCAGCCAAGGGAGTGGGCTCACTCACAATTTTGCGTAAGAACACAGCCATGAATAAAGAATGGTACCAACACATCCTCCAAGAGCAACTTCTCCCAACCATCCAAGAACAGTTTGGTGATGACCAATGCCTTTTCCAGCATGATGAAGCACCTTGCCATAAGGCAAAAGTGATAACTAAGTGGCTCAGGGAACAAAACATCAACATTTTGGGTCCATGGCCAGGAAACTCCCCAGACCTTAATCCCATTGAGAACTTGTGGTCGATCCTCAAGAGGCGGGTGGACAAACAAAAACCCACAAATTCTGACAAACTCCAAGCATTGACTATGCAAGAATGGGCTGCCATCAGCGAGGATGTGGCCCAGAAGTTAATTGACAGCATGCCAGGGCGGATTGCAGAGGTCTTGAAAAAGAAGGGTCAACACTGCAAATATTGACTCTTTGCATAAACTTAATGTAATTGTCAATAAAAGCCTTTGACACTTATGGAATGCTTGTAATTATACTTCAGTATACCATAGTAACATCTGACAAATATCTCATAACACTGAAGCAGCGAACTTCGTGAAGACCAATACTTGTGTCATTCTCAAAGCTTTTGACTACAACTGTAGAGTTTACACAAATATTAGCAACGTAGCTCTTATTGCAGGACTCTGAAACCACTGAAATTTGAAACTCACCAGTCAACCTATGTGTATTGAACATTCATATTGCATTGTACAGCTTAACCTTTCGATTGTGCACCTATGAAATGGGGTATCAGCCTACTCAGTGACACCCACAGAACACAACTATGTAGAGTTTATCCAAATATTAGTGTCTTAGCTCTTATTGCAGGACTTTTACTGTGGGAGCAGAGCATATGAGCGCAGTGGAGCGGTGAGAATCTCAGCTCTTCGCTCACGGAGCTGTTCACCCCTCCGTTCCCCCCGCTCAAAGCCACATCAGGCCAGTCCGCTCATTATCGCTCAGCGCTCAACGCAGTTTGCATCGCGCTCCACCCAAATCACCCCCCCCCCGCTCGCTCCAAAAAAGGAACAAAATCTGCATGTATTTCACTTTTAGCTTAAACCACAGCCTTACTTTATCTCCCCGAGTTTGTTGCATACAGACTCATCTCGGATTATCCATTCTGTCTTGAAACGAGGATCTAACACTGATGCTAAAATGAGATGTTAATCAGTATAGTATATTCCATAGCGAATTGGCACGTTGTTTGCCAATGTTTCTGCAAAAGCAGCGATACCCATTGGAAGTGCAGCGTGAGTGTCATCGGTGAGCAGGGATTTGATTTCTGTAACTGCAGGGAGGATCATCCCCAGGTTCCCCAGCTCCTTCTGCATTTTGTCTGTGAGGTCTGCCAGTGGTGTCAGCACACTGACAAGGTGCGTCAGCTGCCGTACTTGATTCAGGGTGATGTTAGCAACATCAGACTTGAGTTTGTTTTGCCATAACGGGTCTTTTTGGAACAACTGGATGAACGACTGAATCATCCGCAGCTGGCTGCTCCATCGAGTGGTGCAGGAATTTGTGGGGCGGACACCTAATTGGTCGGTTTCCTCTGTGTTCAGGGTGTTCTTGCGTACACTTTTCACCAGGTGCCCGACTTTCACTAACAGCCTATTCATGTTGTCGTGCTCGTTAACGGCGTCTTTGATCGCCAGCTGAAGCATGTGAATGAGGCATCTCAGATGTAAATTTGACAAAGTAAAGTACTGATTTATCATAGTTTCTACATTAGAGGTTATCACTTCCACATGGACTTGCGAGGGCGCAGGTGGTCCCTCATCCTCCTCTGCTGGCATCCGCGGTCACTTCACCCTCCGCCTCCTCTTCAGTGCCAGGGAGGAGGTTAAATGCCTTGATCATGTTGCTGGCACTGTCAGTGACGACCCGAATCACACGTCGTTGCACGTTCCAATATTTAAGTACACTTTCATACTTTTGGTAAATACGATCTGCGGTATGGTGCCCCTGTATGTGCTCACAGCCCAACAAAACCGTGTGCCCCCGGAACGTCCCATCAATGAAACTGGCCACGATGCCAAGGAAGCTGTGCCCTCTTCTACTGGTCCAAATGTCCGCTGACAGAATGAGCCCATCACTATTTTGCAGTAGGTCTTGCAGTTTGGCTTCCATCTCTTCCAGGGCATGTGGCATGAGCGTGTCCCGTACGGTGTTGTAGCATGGGGGGTGTAGCCCGGTTGAGCTGCGCTGGAGAAGTGTTGCATCCCTTCGCGTTCTCCTTTACTCAGCGGTTCATAGTCCATGTAAATCGTTTTTTTAAATGCTACATCCAGCTCTCTTTTTCTCTCCCTTGTTATGGTTGGGCCTTTGCGTGCAGTGAAGAAACTTTTGAATTCCTCAACCCTTTTCTCTTGTTGCTGCTGCTGCTCCTCTCGCTCTATAAATTACAAATTCATGGACGACACAAATTAAATTAAACAGATGGATTCTGGGTCAGGCTTGAGCATCCTTCAGACTCGTGGTGTGAGCGAGCGAAATTGGAGCGGGACATAGGGCGACGCTCCGTCCTTTTAAAAATGCAGCTCTGCGCTCTGTCCAAAATCTGCCCGCTCGCGCTCCACGCTCGCTCCCGCTCCACTCCGCTCACATGCTCTTTGTGGGAGTTAACCTCATTACTCAACATATTGTGTGTATTCACATCAATATAAGTATGCCCCCAATGCAATTCTGAATTCAAATACATCCACAGTGTGATTTCAACTGATTTTTACATTTACGTCATATAACAGAACAGCCTGAAGGTAAGGAGGTGCCGTTCCCCTCACAGCTCTGTAGGCAAGCACCATGGTCTTGTAGTAGATGCGAGCCTCAACTGGAAGCCAGTGGAGTGTGCGGAGGAGCGGGGTGACATGAGAGAACTTGGGAAGGTTGAACACCAGACGGGCTGCAGCGTTCTGGATAAGTTGTAGGGGTTTAATGGCACAGGTAGGGAGCCTAGCCAACAGCGAGTTGCAGTAATCCAGACGGGAGATGACAAATGCCTGGATTAGAACCTGTGCCGCTTCCTGTGCAAGGTAGGGTCGTACTCTGCGAATATTGTAGAGCATGAACCTGCAGGATCGGGTCATCGCTTTGATGTTAGCGGAGAACAACAGGGTGTTGTCCAGGGTCACGCCAAGGTTCTTTGCACTCTGGGAGGAGGACACAATGGAGTTGTCAACCGTGATGGCGAGATCATGGAGCGGGCAGTCCCTTCCCAGGGAGGAAGAGCAGCTCTGTCTTGCTGAGGTTCAGCTTGAGGTGGTGATAACTAACTAATTGTCTTTTGTTGAATTTATATAACATTCCAACCTTGTTTAGCATTAACTAGTCCAATTGTGTCATGTTTTCACAAATTGTATCCTTTCGCATCAGTTTCAATAGGGAACTTTTATTTTGAAGGCGAACCACCCATTCAGCGCTTGTTGCTCAAGCTAATGCTGTTCACAACACACTGGTCTTTTTCCTCCCATCGACTGACAGTCGTCGCAACCCAACTCCACCAAGATATATATATATATAGTGGAGTTAAAAAACCCAGCTAAGGTTATACCTACATACACCAGCCACAATGAATGATTAGCTACAAGAACTTCGACTGTCATGACATTTGATTTGAGGAGAAGTCATGTAGCTACAGTTTGCAGGATCACTTTACGCTCATAACTATAGCTACAGTACTAGGACACAAAGTTAATGAAAGTACAGTTACCGTGTGTATGGTCCAGATCTGCAATTATGATCGTGCAGAGTGAGCGAATCTAGAACGTTTATAAATAATTAGCTAACATTGACGCTTTCAAAATGCAAAGTCAATCAAATTATCTTCCTACTTCCTGATAGTGGTTCTTCTTCTTCAGTGGCTTTAAGAAGAGAAGAAGAGATGGTAAAATTAAGTTTGAAGAAAACCATGAGAAAGTGTCTTATTTTTGGTATTTTTTGGAGTATAAAGAAAGACATACACAAGCACATATACATTCTTATTTTGTTTAGGATTAATCACTTTGGTGCCACCTGCTGTGTTGGCGGTATTACTGTATCATCACTATAGAAATACTATAACAGAACAGTAAATTCCTCTTATCCTCTCATTGAAAAAAAGATGTATCTCAATTTACCACCAATCAATGTATCACTAATTTCCTTGTTTAAATGATGTGCTCAAAGAATGTCTGATTTAAATGTCACATAAAATGTCAGGTTATGTTTTCATCTCAAATGCCTGCAAACCAAATTAATGTTTCTTGAATATTGAATTTAGATTAATATTTATTTGTTGAATGCTTTACAGCAACGTCATGAAAAAAAGCACATCATTCTTATACATTTTCCTCTCAATCAATATACATACATGTAATTCTTTACTTACTGCCTTTCTATGTAATGTACGTCTCTTCGGTTACATACGGGAACCTTTGTCGTCACTGATGTGGGCCGTTCACTTGGTTCTTTCCTTTCCTAGGAGCTTGTCGGAGCGGGTGAATGCCTGGCGCGGATGGACCGGTGAAATTAGTAAAATTCACCCAAACCAACCTTCTCTTCATTCCGCGAGCAAGCCATAAAAATGCCGGCATATTTCCAACGACCGGAAAATGCTCTCAAACGAGCAAATGGTGAGTCGTATATAGTAATTTCTTAGATGTCCTCGCTTTCTACCTAGTTAGCCCCAGTAAAGTATTCACATTGGCTTGCGGTGGTTCGCTAGCTACGCATGGCGGGGAAGCCATGTTGTAAGTATAGGTACACGCATTGAAGCCACCCGTGTCACTAGGCCTTTGAATTCACCACCCATAATTACGTTAAGAGGTGTCATGGGCCGGCCAATTCAGCAATAATACTTAATCTAAAATCACACCGATATGATTGATGTCTGTGACTGATGTCCGGCAGGGTGCATCGAAAAGTATCTGCCATCTTGTTCACACTGACTAGCTAACATAACGTCAGCACTTCCTAGCCCTGAAGGGTTGGTTAGCTAACGTATTAGCATATCCCCTAGCTAAGCTGCTAACTAGTGACACGGTGATCAACTTGTCCAACTCACTCTGAAGTCAGTAATAATCGGTTTAGCCACATCAACTGAAAGGTAACCGCTGCTGCTGGTTAATGTTTTTAGACTGGTCTTGGATAGCTAACTAGGTAACTAGCTAGATTGCATCACCAAAACAGAAGGCCCAGCTAAGATTGTCTATCAATGGGGCGAGTTCGTTGTGCCCCGGGAGGGGTTTGCACATCTCATAAAATAAATACATGGATAGGTTAATGTCTACACTCAGCTATCAGGGCCCCGTTTCCCAAAACCATCTTAAGGCTATGTTCATCGTTAGAACGAACCTTCGTAGGAGCATCGTTAAATCTCCGAGATGTTTCCCAAAGCCTTTGACATCATTACTAAAGTTGTACATGAAAACGCTCATAATCTAACGCCTGCCTCAGACAACTTGTAGAACAGCTAAGTGCGTTGTTAGATGTGTACCCCCCCGCGTCACTTTATACACAGGTGTCCGCTAAACATAGAAACAAGATGTTTATGTCTCTCTGTGACCGCTGATAACTTCACGAAGTTGACTACAAATCCAAAGTTGCCAATGTCTTTGCAGTTGTTATAAACAAGCAAAGGATAAAAAGATGGTTCAAATGAGTACGGAGATGACTACATTAACATATAAATAGCCGACCTACAGTATAGGATACATAGGCCAATATATTGTATTTCAATGATATTGAAATCAATTTAATGTTAATTCAATTTTGTTTTATTTGGCTACTGTCTGTAATTTCTGCCTCAATATATTTAATGATGTGTAGCCTAACGTGTGCAATGATGTGCCAAATCTTGATTAAGTGCGTTATTATAGGGTAAGCATTAGAATAAGCTGCCTCAATATTTGTAGCCATAGGTGATATCTCTCTAGGAGCTGATCCATCGTCATTATTGTGGAATAATTATGTCGTCAAGGTAGGATTTGAATGGAGAAGGCTGATCTGAGAGCCGCGCTGCCTTTCTTTCGATCCTATCAGTATCGACACGTGCCTCAATGATGTTGACGTTCTCTCTGTGTGGTGTTTTGGGAAACATGTTACATCTTCGGCTGTTGTAGGAAAGATGCATCGTTAAAACACTTGTAAGCCTAAGTTCCAGCGATGTCGGGAAACCGGGCCCAGATCTTTTTAATCTATTAGGGGGTCCCTTGTGCATGAAGGTTATATTGCAGCAACTGATTAACCTTCAGAACTTTTTTCATCCTTTTTCATGTAATTTGCTGTGTTTTTCATGAATTTGCTGTGTTTTTCATGAATTTGCTGTGTTTTTACAGAGTTTTTGGAGGTTGGCAAAAAGCAGCCAGCTTTGGATGTTTTGTACGATGTCATTAAGAGCAAAAAGCATCGAACATGGCAGAAGATCCACGAGCCCATCATGCTCAAGTACCTGGAGCTCTGCGTGGACCTGCGCAAGAGCCACCTGGCCAAGGAGGGCCTATACCAGTACAAGAACATCTGCCAGCAGGTCAGCACACCAAGCCCTCTCTTGGACAACCGTAAATGTTGGGTACTATTGATCCTACAAAGTCACTCACCTGCCGCAGTTAAGTATGAGCCTCTATTTTGTTTTGTAGGTGAACATCAAATCCCTGGAGGATGTGGTTCGAGCCTACCTGAAGTTGGCCGAGGAGAAGACGGAGACAGCCAAGGGGGAGTCACAGCAGATGGTCCTGGACATTGAGGATCTTGACAACATCCAGACTCCTGAGAGGTATTTATTTAACCTTTTATTTAACTAGGAACCTTTTTATTTAACTTTGAGGTATGGGTCCATTGAAACCTTATTCCAATATGATGTGATGGGCTGATACTATATTTCAGATATATTGGACTATCCGCACACTTATTGTTACCACCTTGTAATAGCTGTAACCATGCTAACAATCATGCTTCACCTTTGCTGTAAACCATTAGCGTGGTGGTGATGTGTGCACAATGATGCAATGTTAGTGGTGTAGTTCTGTGAGCTCAAATGACTTGACTACCTTGTGTGATCCTAGTGTGCTTCTGAGCGCTGTGAGTGGTGAAGACACCCAGGATCGTACAGACCGTCTGCTGCTCACTCCCTGGGTGAAATTTCTGTGGGAATCCTACCGCCAATGCCTGGACCTGCTGCGTAACAACTCCAAGGTGGAGCGCCTCTACCATGACATTGCCCAGCAAGGTGAGCACAATCTGAACATTTAACATGATGTACATCGGGGTAGGCAACTACATTCAGCCCGATTTGTCAGGGGGTGAAAATAATTATAATAATTAATACACGTCAAATTGACCACAAGTAAGCCCAAAAAGAGATTGTATTTGAAAATAACATCATTTCCTACCTGATTACATTGAGACATATTCACATACAGTTGAAGTCGTAAGTTTACATACACTTAGATTGGAGTCATTAAAACTAGTTTTTCAACCACTCCACAAATGTCTTGTTAACAGACTATAGTTTTGGCAAGTCGGTTAGGACATCTACTTTGTGCATGACACAAGTCATTTTTCCAACAATTGTTTACAGACAGATTATTAAACTTATAATTCACTGTATCACTATTCCAGTGGGTCAGACGTTTACATACACTAAATTGACTGTGCCTTTAAACAGCTTGGAAAATTCCAGAAAATGATGTCATGGCTTTAGAAGCTTCTGATAGGCTAAATGACATCATTTGAGTCAATTGGAGGTGTACCTGTGGATGTATTTCAAGGCCTACCTTTAAACTCAGTGCCTCTTTGCTTGACAACATGGGAAAATCAAAAGAAATCAGCCAACACCTAAGGAAAAAAAAAAATGGTAGACCTCCACAAGTATGGTTCATCCTTGGGAGCAATTTCCAAACGCCTGAAGGTACCACGTTCATCTGTACAAACAATACTATGCAAGTATAAACACCATAGGACCACGCAGCCGTCATACCGCTCAGGAAGGAGACGCATTCTGTCTCCTAGAGATGAACGTACTTTGGTGCGAAAAGTGCAAATCAATCCCAGAACAACAGCGAAGGACCTTGTGAAGATGCTGGAGGAAACCGGTACAAAAGTATCTATATCCACAGTAAAACGAGTCCTATATCGACATAACCTGAAAGGCCGCTCAGCAAGGAAGAAGCCACTGCTCCAAAACCGCCATAAAAAAGCCAGACTACTGTTTGCAACTGCACATTGGGACAAAGATCGTACTTTTTGGAGAAATTTCCTCTAGTCTGATGAAACAAATAGAACTGTTTGGCCGTAATGACCATCGTTATGTTTGGAGGAAAAAGGGGGTAGCTTGCAAGCCGAAGAACAGCATCCCAACCGTGAAGCACTGGGGTGGCAGCATCATGCTGTGTGCATGTTTTGCTGCAGGAGGGACTAGGTGCACTTCACAAAATAGATGGCATCATGAGGAAGGAACATTTTGGATATATTGAAGCAACATCTCAAGACATCAGTCAGGAATTTAAAGCTTGGTCGCAAATGGGTCTTCCAAATGGACAAGCATACTTCCAAAGTTGTGGCAAAATGGCTTAAGGACAACAAAGTCAAGGTATTGGAGTGGCCATCACAAAGCCCTGACCTCAATCCTATAGAAAATTTGTGGGCAGAACTAAAAAAGTGTGTGCGAGCAAGGAGGCCTATAAACCTGACTCAGTTACACCAGCTCTGTCAGGAGGAATGGGCCAAAATTTACCCAATTTATTGTGGGACGCTTGTGGAAGGCTACCTGAAACGTTTTACCCAAGTTAAACCATTTTAAAGGCAATGCTACCAAATACTAATTGAGTGTATGTAAACTTCTGACCCACTGGGAATGTGATGAAATAAATGTTGAAATAAATCATTCTCTCTACTATTATTCTGACATTTCACATTCTTAAAATAAAGTGGTGACCCTAACTGACCTAAGACAACTAATTTTTACTAGGATTAAATGTCAGGAATTGTGAAAAACTGAGTTTAAATGTATTTCGCTAAGGTGTATGTAAACTTCCGACTTCAACTGTATCTCTATTTTATTTGTGGGAATACTTGGAAACAGATTTCTCCTCATCCTAATCGTATCCTGATGTGTTCCGCAGCTTTCAAGTTCTGCCTTCAGTACACCCGTAAGGCAGAGTTTCGGAAGCTTTGCGACAATCTGCGCATGCATCTGGGTCAGATCCAGCGCCACCACAACCAGAGCACGGCCATCAACCTGAACAACCCTGAGAGCCAGTCTATGCACCTGGAGACACGCCTGGTGCAGCTGGACAGTGCCATCGCCATGGAGCTCTGGCAGGTATGATGTCATATGATTAGCTTGCAATGTTTAGTTGAAACAATGTTACATCTAGAAGAATACTTTTATTGTCCAATTTTATTTTTTCAACAAGCAATTGTTATCTACATTTTATTATGAACATTGATTATATGTGTTATGAATGGTGAAATTTGATTTTTGATTTTTACAGGAAGCTTTCAAGGCTGTGGAAGACATCCATGGTCTCTTCGCCCTTTCCAAGAAGCCCCCCAAGCCTCAACTTATGGCTAACTACTACAACAAGGTGTCCACTGTGTTTTGGAAGTCTGGGAATGCCCTATTCCACGCCTGCACCCTCCACCGCCTCTACCACCTTTCCAGGGAGATGCGCAAGAACCTCACCCAGGAAGAGATGCAGAGGTATGCAAGCCCAGTCCTGACCAGTTTGCTGGAATGTGTGCCACATAGAATTACTTGAATGGCCATTCACTTAAAAAAATATTAATCTGACATTTCATCAACTGGAGTTATGGTTTCTATCTCACCTTAATCACCTGTCAATCAGTCACCATCATGCCTCTGCCCCATTTCCAACTAATCAGAGCCCTTTGTTACACTCCAGGATACTGCCCCCTTCCTCTTCATGTTAGCATGTTTGGTGATGGGTAGATCCGAGGTTGCAGGTGCTCACGGCTCTCCTCTCTCTCCCTCAGGATGTCCACAAGGGTCCTCCTGGCAACCCTGTCCATTCCCATCACCCCGGAGCGCACAGACATTGCCCGCCTGTTGGACATGGACGGCATCATCGTGGAGAAACACCGCAGGCTGGCCACACTACTGGGCCTGCAGTCCCCACCAACCCGCCAGAGCCTCATCAATGACATGGTATATACCCACATGCATGGAACAGACTATAGAAATAACCATAGGGATTTTTGTTTGTGAGCAGGCTGGGTATAAGAGGCCAGTGACAGTATGTCCCATATGTCAATGTTAGGAGTTTGTATTCTAGTGCTTGACTTGCTTTAGTCCTGTGAACTACCCATACAGATACGTTTGTTTACTACATAATGAAAAATGAAAACAAACACTGGTTTGTCCATTGCTGAGATTTACTTGCATGACATTAGCTTGTGACCCGGTGCCAAAAATAGGCTGTCTTAGTTTTTACCCCTAGAGAAGAGTCAGAGAGAACTTAACCAACTGCTGTTTCTTTTTTTTCCGTTGTCCTTTTGTCAGGGGTTGTTCACAGTGCTACTATATGCATGTTATGTTTCCCTTTAGGTTAGGTTCAATTTGCTGCAGTACATTGTACCTGAAGTGAAGGAGCTGTACAATTGGCTGGAGATGGACTTCCACCCACTGAAGCTTAGCGGAAGAGTAACAAAGGTAACATTTGAATTCAGAAAAGCTACAGTGTTGCAACATTGGGCAATTTGACATGCAACTGTCCAAAAACAATATAAAATACATCCACATAATTCCTCTGAAATTACAACTATTTGTGTCATGGCTGATTCATTTACCATTTGTTTTCTTCATCTGTTGTATTGACCTTCCCTCTTCCTCTTAGGTGTTGAACTGGGTGAGAGACCAGTCTGAGAAGGAGGCAGACCTCCAGCAGTATGTTCCCCATCTGCAGAGTAACACCATCCTCAGGCTGCTGCAGCAGGTGACTTATTGCTCATTTTAGATTGCTCACTTAGACTTTGATGGTCTGTTAATCTCACTCATAGTTAAATGTCACGAATATGTGCCAAACAATAACTGATGAAATACAATACCTGACAATATAACTTTATTATTAACTATGTCTGTTGTCCTTGTTGTAACTCGCTAGTGCAGGGATGGGCACCAGGAGGCCCACGAGCCAATTTAAATGCCACCCACGATGGATTTAGTAAATAAAGTGTAAAATAAAAAAAAGTGGATTCAACTACTCCAGGCTACATTTGAACATCTAAAACCTGATAGAAAGTATGTAGATGTTATAATGTACCTAATGTATTTTAAAAGAACTGCCCTTTTTCTGGCACACATTGATTTTTGACGAACAAAACGGTCCAGAAAATATCCCGACGTGGCCCTCGAGCCTCAGGATGTTGTCCATTCATTGATTGAAACATGTAACACATGTATTGTATGTAAATTGTGGTCCTATTAACTAATCAGTGCACACTGTTTATTTTAATGGGATATTAGGTGGCTCAGATCTATCAGAGCATTGAGTTCAACCGTCTGGCCTCCCTGGTTCCATTTGTGGATCCCTTCCAGTTGGAGCGCTCCATTGTGGATGCTGCCCGACACTGTGATCTGCAGGTGGGGTACCGGACATGGATTTTGTCAATGATATTCTCTGTGCAAAATTGTACAAACACCCAAGTTGACTTTTCACCTAAATACATAGTTATTTCATACCTATACGCTTTGAATTCAGTCAGTATTTTTATTATTATAATTTTTTTGTTGTTGAAATGTCTGTTCTAGGTTCGAATTGACCACACCACTCGAAACCTGAGCTTTGGTTCGGACCTGAACTACTCGACCAAAGAGGACTCTCCTGTGGGGCCGTTCTTGCAGAACATGCCCTCTGCGCAGATCAGGAACCAGCTGACAGCCATGTCGTCTTCCTTGGCCAAGGCAATCCAGGTCATCAAACCTGCATCCATGCTGGTGAGCACAGCCTCCCGTCGAGATGGCATTTGTACCTGCACTGCTAGCCCCCAAAAAAAAAAAAAGAAAAGACAACGTCGCTGTCCTCCTTGATCAAATATCAAAACATGCTTTCTATTCCATCATCCCAATGTGCATTACATAAATTATTATAAGGTATTTAAGGCATTTTGAAAATGTAACATTTAGGGCCAATACTATATGGATTGTTCCGTGCATACACACACAACCAATTCACATTGATACTGCGTGAAACCCCCATTCATGCACAATCTTGCTCTAACAAACCTGTCCCCATCTCTCACTCGTCTACCCTCTTGTCCACCATTTCCAGAAAGAGCGCGAGGAGCAGAGCCAGCTAGCCATCACCGCCTACCTGAAGAACGGCCGCAAGGAGCACCAGCGCATCCTGGCCCGCCGGCAGACCATCGAGGAACGCAAGGAGCGTCTGGAGAACCTCAACATCCAGCGGGAGAAGGAGGAGCTGGAGCAGCGCGAGGCGGAGCTGCAGAAGGTGCGCAAGGCAGAGGAGGAGCGCCTGCGCCAGGAGGCCAAGGAGCGCGAGAAGGAGCGCATCATGCAGGAGCACGAGCAGATCAAGAAGAAGACTGTGCGTGAGCGGCTGGAGCAGATCAAGAAGACCGAACTGGGAGCCAAGGCCTTCAAAGACATCGATATAGAGGTAAACTAGACACAAGCTCAACTAAGCTGTACACTCTGCCACCCATCAAACATATTGCTTTGTTAAAAATGAAAAGATCACATTGACATCAATGATGTTAAGACAAGTTTTTTTTCCCCAATGGGTCATACTGGTATCAGTACCATAAGTGTTTACCTGGAATGTACACTGAACAAAAATTATATGAACTCAACATGTAAATTGTTGGTCCCATGTTTCATGAGCTGAACTCAAAGATCCCAAGAATTTTCCATACACACCAAGCTTATTTCTCCAATTTTGTGGCCAAATTTGTTTATATCCCTGTTAGCGAGCATTTCTCCTTTGCCAAGATAATCCATCCACCTGACAGGTGTGGCATATCAAGAAGCTGATTAAACAGCATGATCATTACACAGGTGCACCTTGTGCTGTGGACAATAAAAGGCCACTAAAATGTGCAATTTTGTCACACAATACAATGCCATATATGTTTTGAGGGAGCATGCAATTGGCATGCTGACTGCAGGAATGTCCACCAGAGAATTGAATATTAATTTCTCTACCATAAGCCATAACGTCATTTTAGAGAATTTGGCAGTATATCCAACCGGCCTCACAACCGCAGACCACATGTATGGCTTCGTGTGGGAGAGCGGTTTGCTGATGTTAACGTTGTGAACAGAGAGCCCTATGGCGGCGGTGGGGTTATGGTATGGGCAGGCATAAGCTACGGACAACGAACACAATTGCATTTTATCGATGGCAATTTGAATGCACAGAGATACCGTAACGAGATCCTGAGGCCCATTGTCGTACCATTCATCCGCCGCCATCACCTCATATTTCAGCAAGATAATGCACGGCCCCATGTCGCAAGGATCTGTACACAATTCCTGGAAGCCGAAAATGTCCCAGTTCTTTCATGGCCTGCATACTCATCAGCCATGTCACCCATTGAGCATGTTTGGGATGCTCTGGATCGACGTGTACAACAGCGTGTTCCAGTTCCCGCCAATATCCAGCAACTTTGCACAGCCGTTAAAGAGGAGTGGGACAACATTCCACAGGCTACAATCAACAGCCTGATCAACTCTATGCGAAGGAGATGTCGCGCTGCATGAGGCAAATGATGGTCACACCAGATACTGACTGGTTTTCTGATCCACGCCCCTACTTTTTTTTTTTTACGGTATCTGTGACCAACAGATGTACTCCTGAGTGGCGCAGTGGTCTAAGGCACTGCATCGCAGTGCTAACTGTGCCACTAGAGATCCTGGTTCGAATCCAGGCTCTGTCGCCGCCGGCCGCGACCGGGAGACTCATGGGCGGCGCACAATTGGCCCAGCGTCGTCCAGGGTAGGGGAGGGAATGGCCGGCAGGGATGTAGCTCAGTTGATAGAGCATGGCGTTTGCAACGCCAGGGTTGTGGGTTCGATTCCCACGGGGGGCCAGTATAAAAAAAATATGTATTCACTAACTGTAAGTCGCTCTGGATAAGAGCGTCTGCTAAATGACTAAAATGTAAAATGTAAATGTAACCGATGCATATCTGTATTCCCAGTCATGTGAAATCCATAGATTAGGGCCTAATGAATTTCTCAATAGACTGATTTCCTTATGAACTGTAACTCAGTGAAATCTTTTTAAATTGTTTCATGTTGCATTTATTTTTGTTCAGTATAGCTAACATCTCAAATCAAAGTTTATTGATCACATACAGTTTTGCAGGCGTTATCGCAGTTCAGCGAAATGCTTATTTTTCTAGCTCCAACAATGCAACAATATCTAGCAATACAATACACACACACACAATCCAAAAGTTAAAAAAAGAACAATAAATTAAGACGTGAGAACAAGCAATGTCAGAGTCCGGAATATACATCTATATCTAGAATGAGTTTTGGAAATGAAGTGTGGATGTACAATGGTGAAATTAACTCTTAACCTCCCTTTGCACAGGACCTTGAGGACCTGGATCCTGACTTCATCATGTCCAAACAGGTGGAGCAGCTTGAGAAGGAGAAGAGAGAACTTCAGGACCGCCTGAAAAACCAGGAGAAAAAGGTGAAGATATTTTCATCAAATATATATTCCATGTTTTCTGTCTTGCCTGTTACAAACAGGTGATGCAGAAAAATGACTCACTCAATGTTGTTTCATGTGTGGACTGGTCCTTGCAGATTGACTACTTTGAGAGGGCCAAACGTCTGGAGGAGATTCCCTTGATCAAAAAGGCCTACGAGGAGCAGCGTGTCAAGGACATGGAGTTATGGGAACTCCAAGAGGAGGAGAGGGTAAGGCAATATATTTATTCAGCATCTATGCCTTTGTAAATCCTAAACACAAAGCCATTGTAGATGGCATGCACGAACTGAGCGCTCTAGTGATGGCAAGCTGTCAGGCTGACTGGTCCATGTTTTTCGTGATAATAAACAACATTTTAATTGTGGTTACAGAATGGTCAATGATTATGGTCCATCTGTTTTGTGTTGTAGATCAGCAACATGAAGGTGGAGCGTGAGAGGGCCTTGGAGCACAAGCAAAGGATGTCCAGAATGATGGAGGACAAGGAGAACTTTGTGAGCAAAATAACAGATGCTCGCAGCTTCATCTACGAGGTAAATGGCATTTTAAATTGGGGAGTTTGTCTCCTGGATGGTATACCACAGGTATAACTTTTTACTGTTCTAATTACGTTGGTAACCAGTTTATAATAGCAATAAGGCACCTCAGGGGTTTGTGGTATATGGCCAATATTCCACAGCTAAGAGCTGTATCCAGGCACTCCGCGTTGCATAGAAGAACAGCCCTTAGCCGTGGTATATTGGCCATATACCACACCCCCTCGTGCCTTATTGCTTAATTAAAATGTGCATGAAACCACCGATTCTAGAAGCCCAATGGCATTAAAGGAAAAATCCACCCAAAACCACTCATTCTTGTAATTTACAGTGTTGCATAACACTAATATGTGAGTAATATTTTTTGTGAACAAATGTTTCATTTTGTCGTTATAATAATGTTGGTAGCAACATGTGGAAATCTATTGCAGCTCAAGTCGACTACAAAACCCATAATGCAATGCTCTCTCTATGGGCTAGCTAGCTAATGTAGCTACACATAATAATACTAAAGTCAATATTAGCATGTGAAGTAGCTAGTTAGCTGTCCAATCGCCTAAACAAACTGCATTATCAATTAAGGAGTCTACAATCTCACCATGTTTAACCTGCAGATCAATGTGCCTCGAGTGGAGTCTGACAATCGCAACGGCACCATGCAATGCACCCTGGACTGACGAGTCTGACAAATAGGAGAAATGTGTTAAGGGTTTTTCACATATAGTCCTCTTTAAAAGAACCGATCTCAGTCCTCTTTAAAGTGAAAGCTGTGGTAAAAACAAGAAGCAGAAGATCTGTTCTCTTTGTATTCACATTGCCCTTGCCTTTGAATGAGGACTCAACTCTTTTGCCAGTTCACGTCACCTATGTTGTGGTCTGAGTCCTCTTTGCATTCACATTGCTATGTTTAGAAAGGAACCAAGATCTTTTTCCAACATTCACTCAATACACTGTGGGTTTTTACAAAGTGCAGGACAAGCCATTCCATCAGTGTGTTATCGGACAGCTTGATATACCATATACCTACTTACATTTAGGAAGCTAATAGATTGCATTTAGTTAAAAGGTGAGACATAATTGTAATCAAAAGGTACATATAATGGGTAACAGAATAAATAGCAGAAGAATAACTGCAGATTAAATAATGCTGTAATTGAAAATTGTACACCCAATGTAGGCTACTGCCCCTTTAAGAGCTAGAATAGATTTTGAACCCTATGTTGTGATTCTTACCAAATATGTTGTCATCTTCTCACACTATTCAAACCCCACAATCGAATAAACAGTTTATGAAGCGCTCTTAGCCTATAGATCACATATCGCAAACAAATAATCTGAACTCAAAACTCCACACATTCAGTATTTTAGAATTTCTGTGCATCCTTGACAATCGCCAATCAATATCCAAAAACGGAATGTTTTTTTCCAGGAACCTGCACATCATTTTCTGTCTTGTGGCACCAATGTGAGGGGCTATGGCAGGGGAAACAGTGTTGCAGTAGTCTAGTGTGTGGTGTGGGATTAATGACAAGCGAACCTGGGGAGCTTAGTGTCCACGTTGCCCTAAAAAGGGAACCGGACTGCGGAATTCAAGCGAACCAAACTCAGACCACCTCTCAAGATGGTTTCGGTTAGCTTCGGGGAGCTCTTTTTAGGGGTCTGAGTTCCATTTGGAGTGTTCACACTGCACAAACAATTAAACAAAACGCACTGAGTTCACAAAAAGTGGCTGAAAGGGACCAAGTGTGAAAACACCCCTAGACCCAATGTTAAATTACACATTTCTCGAGGTAGGAATATCGCAGAAATATGGTCAATGGCTCATTCGAGAGAAGACAACCTACCGCGTTATGACATCGGCCAGTATTGACATCTGACATGTGTGATAGATGTTTTTGCAATCTAAAAGTCGTATTCTTATTAACTTCCAGCGTAGTGAGAGCGGCTTTATCTCAATGCTACGTCATACCGGCTGAATTTCTGCCTGCTTGAACGGCAATATCTCAGATACACACGAAAACATGAATTGGCCCAGGGAATCGATAGAACATCGCTCAGAGATGCACAAAAACAATATAACATTCAAAATGGGTGAATATTTACTTCAAAGAGCTTATCAGCTGCTACAAAGAAAGCAGGAATAACCAAAAAAAAGTAATTGTCAATGGAGTTCTACCATAAGTTATTTGGCCTGAGTTGTTTTTCATTTATTAAGAATACACTTAAGATCTTTAAGAATACACCTAAATGTCTTTGTTACCATCCCAGGAAAAACTGAAACAGTTCCAGGAGCGCCTGGTGGAGGAGAGGAAGAAGCGTCTAGAGGAGAGGAAGATTCAGCGCAAGGAGGACCGCCGTAACGCCTTCTACCGCCAGAAGGAGGAGGAGGCCCAGCGCATCCATGAGGAGCAGCTCAAGAAAGGTACCTCCGTTACCTCTCAGGCCCAGAGAGGACTTGGTATATAGTATGGATGTCAAATAATAATTTTATTATTATTATCTTAGATATTGTCAACTATGAGTTTCTCTTAAAGGTAATAGTAACTTTAATTGATGTCAATGGAAGATATCTGCAAAAACGTGAAGTTATGCACACAGATTTAGGTAAATTAGATTTCGGCTCCAAGTGTGTTTTTGGTTGGTGTTTGTTAGTCTGTGTGTCCCATGTGACGGTTGCCCCATAGTCTTCAGTGTCCTGTCATCTGAATCTACATATCCATGTGTTGTTGCAGAGCGCGAGGAGCGCGAGCGCATCGAGCAGGAAGCACGTGAGGCAGAGGAGGCGGAGTACCAGGAGCGCCTGCGCAAACTAGAGGAGCAGGAGAGGAAGCAGCGAGCCCGGCAGCAGGAGATCGAGGAGCGTGAGCGCCGCAGGGAGGAAGAGTTGAGGGCCCCTGCTAGGTCTGAGGAGAAACCCAGAGGAGAAGCCAAGGTAGCCTACTACACATTCTCGCCAACATCTCCTCCAGAGCACTTTCACACAGCTCACTTTCTGTTGAGTCGAAGATGACTCACTTTAGAGGGGTGTTAAAATAATTATAATATTAAATGGGTTTATATAGCGCTTAAGTTTTGTTCGCTCAATGATGATTCTCCTCCATTGATCGCTCCAAGAGCGACATGAAATTAAATGCACTTCTATTTCACCGGCGAACTGAGAGTGAGAAGCACAGGCAGCCGTCTCAAAGTACAATGTGAAGTTTCTTGACATTTTGGGTGGAACTTGTGACGTGAATGTACTCCATTTCCCTGTTAACTTAGTTATGAAGTCCCAAAAATAAGCTCAGATAAAGGTATAGGATGAAATTATCATAATGTTGCAAATATGGTGTTCTTAAAAAATAAATAAAATAAATAATCATGTAAATGTAATGAAAGCCATTACTCAGTGTTGGACACTCTTTTCCTCTCCAGGACTGGGGTGCTGAGAAGGAGGAGGGAGGAGGTGGAGGATGGAGGAGGCGTACTGAGGTTGAATCAGAGAGGCGTCGGCCTGTGCCTGATAAGTGAGTGGCATTTAATTCAGACTGTACTTTTGAAGCATTTCATTTGGTAAAAATACTTTGTGTTCACTGGTCAAAAAATCTTTTATTACTCTCTATAGTGACGCCGTACCAGATAAGTGAGTGGGATTTCATTCAGATTGCAAATTTGAAGCATGTTACCTGGTTTAAAATACTTTGTATGTTTGTGTTCACTGGTCAAAGTGACCTGTCCTATAACTGTGCTGTCCTTTCTCTCTCTAGGGACTGGAGAACCGATGGCGGCGAGGAAAAAGACAGAGAGCCACCCTTCAGGAGAGGAGGAGACGGCCCTCGCCGTGGTGGAGCCGACGACCGCGGACCCCCACGCAGGGGCTTCGGGGACGAGGACCGACCCCTGCGCAGAGGCATGGATGAGGACCGTCCACCAAGGAGAACCTTTGGGGATGATGACCGGGGTCTTAGAAGGGGAGGGGACGAGGACCGCGGTCTCCGCAGAGGCTTCGAAGATGGCCCCAGGCGTGTCTTTGATGACGGCCCCCGCAGAGGCACGGATGAGTCCAGGGGCCCCAGACGCGGGGCCGATGATGACACCTGGGGCCCCAGGAGAGGAGGAGATGACGAGAGGGGCGGACCCCGTGACGACAAGCCATGGAAGCCAGCAGGCCGGCCCGGTATGGTTGTTTCCCATTTAATCTGTTCCAAATATGGATCATTGAATTGATGTGGTTGCATGTTTGTCTTGTGTAGTAAGTGTGTTGTCGTTGAAAGCCCTCTTCCATGTACTTGTTCTCCTATAATTATGTTAATTAGTATTTAAGAAATGTCTAATAGTAAATATTTGTGTAGTGGCAACTGTTGCCAGTTCTTCTTACACGTTGTGCTGGATCATGGGCAGTTGCTCTGGTGTCTGCTTCAGGTGGTGGCTGGCGTGAGAGGGAGAAGGCCCGCGAGGAGAGCTGGGGTCCACCCCGCGAAGGTGGCAGCAGCAATGAGGGCGACGAAGGCGAGAGAGAGGAAAAACAGGAGAGCGAACGCTTCCCAGAGCGCCGCCCACCCAGGTCAGACGCACAGTATGTGGACTACAAACAGCACTACTGTGATATGAAGGCTCATATATTATACTCTATGATCAGGAGTGCTCCTAAACGGGTGGATGGTTTTACTGATATTGTGAAAACGGAGTAGTCGTACAGGTGTTTTTTGTATTTATTTTCGTGGCGTAATCGGAGACCTCTGTTTTCAGGGAGGAGGGAGGTGGTGGTAGTGCCTGGAGAAGGCCGGGTGCTGATGATGAGGCGCCCAAGAAAAGCTGGAGAGACTCTGCTCGTCAGGAAGAGCCTGACCGCGAGGACCGCCCTCCTATCCGTCGAGAGCGACCTGAGCGCAGGGATGAACGAGACCGTCCCCCACCCAGCAGAGAGCCTGAAGAAGGTAAGATCAGCCTGCTCAGTCCTCTGCAACCTACCTTACTAGCCACATGTTTTAAGTTTCGGTATTTTAAAACAGTTAGCCAGCTCGGTATTCATTGCAAGTGTCAACCGGTATCAAGCATCAATCTATTAATGCAGCAATACTCATTCATTGTCTATATCATGAAAATTGAGACTACTGTAACCCCTGTTCTCTGGCAGTGTTTCCAATCTGGAGGATGTATTTTTAAACACAGTACTTAAAGTTAAGATGCCATCCCCTAACAAGACAGGTTCTGTGCACACAGGAGGAGGCTCTTGGCGCCGTGCCGGCGACGAGAAGCGTGAGGTGCGTAAAGAGGAACGTCCGGCTCCCCCCAGACCCAGAGAGGGTGAGCGTGAAGCGGACGGAGAGAAGAGCTCCTGGCGCTCTGAGAAAGACAAAGAGAACGCTGGTCGCGCCAAGAAGACCAACGAAGAGACCGACGATGACGGCTGGACCAAGGTGGCCCGCCGCTGAGTCCACCCTCTCTCTGAGCATCTGCTTCCAAATGGCCCCACAATGACTAATGTTGTACCCCTCTATTGCTGCCAGCCTCGTAGTAATTTAACCTTGGCATAAGCTTATTAAAACTTTGGCATAGCAAAGCTCATTATTTGATCAACCAAATGTGTCATCTCATCAACTATCTCGAATATGTATTTTGTTAAGGTGGCTTCTTAACCTAAAAACGAGTTAATTCCCAATTTGATGTGCATGCTTAGAGTATACAATTAGTCTCACTCAATATCTAGTGTGTGGTTCGATCTTAAAGCATTCAACCATATTTGACACAATGAGTTGCATGTTTATAGATAAATACAGCCTTTATTAATAAAGTACTTTGCTCAACAGTTGATTTCTTTCTTTGCTCACTCAATTTCTCAGTTAAGGCTCAAGGCCTGACTGATTGTGGTAGCAGGCTAGTTGCTACTTTGTAGAACTTTTCTTACACTTGGTCCTTTTTGAATGATGAGCAGGATTTGGAAGTTTTAGGAACTTTTTGGTCTTTACTGGGCTGCATCAAAAGTGGCTTTAACCCTCAAGCTATCAACATTTTACATACTTTTGTGTATATATAGTGTATGTGTACACCCCTTCAAATTAGTGGATTGGGCATTGCAAAAGTATTCAACCCCTTTGCGTTTTTCCTATTTTGTTGCATTACAACCTGTAATTTAAATGCATTTTTATTTGGATTTCATGTAATGAACATACACAAAATAGTCAAAGTGAAATGAAAAAAATTACTTTCTAAAAAAATAAATAAAAATAACAAAAGTGGTGAGTGCATATGTATTCACCGACTTTGCTATGAAGGCCCTAAATAAGATCTGGTGCAACCAATTACCTTCAGAAGTCACATAATTAGTTAAATAAAGTCCACCTGTGTGCAATCTAAGTGTCACATGATCTTAGTATATATACACCTGTTCTGAAAGGCCCCAGAGTCTGCAACACCACTAAGCAAGGGGCACCACCAAGTAAGCGGCACCATGAAGACCAAGGAGCTCTCCAAACAGGTCAGGGACAAAGTTGTGGAGATGTACAGATCAGGGTTGGGTTATAAAACAATATCTGAAACACTGAACATCCCACGGAGCCCCATTAAATCCATTATTAAAAAATTGAAAGAATATGGCACCACAACAAACCTGCCAAGAGAGGGCCGCCCACCAAAACTCACGGACCAGGTAAGGAGGGCATTAATCAGAGAGGCAACAAACATAACCCTGAAGGAGCTGCAAAGCTCCACAGCTGAGATTGGAGTTCTGTCCATAGGACCACTTTAAGCCGTACACTCCACAGAGCTGGGCTTTACGGAAGAGTGGCCTGAAAAAAGCCATTGCTTTAAGAAAAAAATAAGCAAACACGTTTGGTGTTCGCCAAAAGGCATGTAGGAGACTCCCCAAACATATGGAAGAAGGTACTCTGGTCAGATGAGACTAAAATTGAGCTTTTTGGCCATCAAGGAAAACGCTATGTCTGGCACAAACCCAACACCTCTCATCACCCTGAGAACACCATCCCCACAGTGAAGCGTGGTGAAGGCATCATGCTGTGGGGATGTTTTTCATTGGCAGGGACTGGGATACTGGTCAGAATTGAAGGAATAATGGATGGCGCTAAATACAGGGAAATTCTTGAGGGAAACCTGTTTCAGTCTTCCAGTGATTTGAGACTGGGACGGAGGTTCACCTTCCAGCAGGACAATGACCCTAAGCATACTGCTAAAGCAACACTTGAGTGGTTTAAGGGGAAACATTTAAATGTATTGGAATGGCCTAGTCAAAGCCCAGACCTCAATCCAATTGAGAATCTGTGGTATGACTTAAAGATTCCTGTACACCAGTGGAACCCATCCAACTTGAAGGAGCTGGATCAGTTTTGCCTTGAAGAATGGACAAAAATCCCAGTGGCTAGATGTGCCAAGCTTATAGAGACATACCCCAAGAGACTTGCAGCTGTAATTTCTGCAAAAGGTGGCTCTACAAAGTATGGACTTTGGGGGGGTGAATAGTTATGCACGCTCAAGTTTTCTGTTTTTTGTCTTATTTCTTGTTTGTTTCACAAAACAATTATTTTGCATCTTCAAAGTGGTAGGCATGTTGTGTAAATCAAATGATACAACCCCCCCCCCAAATCCATTTTAATTCCAGGTTGTAAGGCAACAAATGCCAAGGGGGGTGAATACTTTCGCAAGCCACTGTGTAAAATCGAGCACACGGCCATGCAATCTCCATAGCCTAACATTGGCAGTAGAATGGCCTTACTGAAGAGCTCAGTTACTTTTAACGTGGCACCGTCATAGGATGCCACCTTTCCAACAAGTAGGTTTGTCAAATTCCTGCCGTACTAGTGCTGACCCGGTCTCAACTGTAAGTGCTGTTATTGTGAAGTGGAAATGTCTAGGAGCAACAACGGCTCAGCCGCAAAGTGGTATCACAGAACTGGACCATTCAAGCTCGTAGAGCGTAAATATAAACTGTCCTCAGTTGCAACACTCACTACCGAGTTCCAAACTGCCTCTGGAAACAATGTCTGCACAATAACTGTTTGTCGGGAGCTTAATGAAATGGGTTTCCATGGCCAAGCAGCCGCACACAAGCCTAAGATAACCATGAGCTGTGGTGTAAAGCTCGCCGGCATTGGACTCTGGAGCAGTGGAAACGTGTTCTCTGGAGTGATTAATCACGCTTCACCATCTGGCAGTCTGTGTTTGGCGGATACCAGGAGAACGCTACCTGCCCGAATGCATAGTGCCAGCTAAAGTTTGGAGGAGGATTTATGGTCTGGGGCTGTTTTTCATGGTTCGGGCTAGGCCGCTTAGGTACAGTGAAGGGAAATCTTAACGCTACAGCATCCAATGACATTCTAGATTCTGTGCTTCCAACTTTGTGGCAACAATTTGGGGAAGGCCCTTTCCTGTTTCAGCATGACATACAGAAATGGTTTGTCGAGATCGGTGTGGAAGAACTTGACTGGCCTGCACAGAGCCCTGACCTCAACCCCATCGAACACCTTTGGGATGAATTGGAACGCAGACTGCAAGCCAGGCCTAATCACCCCCAACATCAGTGCCCGACCTCACTAATGCTCTTGTGGCTGAATGGAAGCAAGTCCCTGCAGCAATGTTCCAACATCTAGTGGAAAGCCTTCCCAGAAGAGTGGAGGTTGTTATAGCAGCAAAGGGGGGACTAACTCCATATGAATGCCCATGATTTTGGAATGAGATGTTCCACGAGCATGTGTCCACATACTTTTGGTCATGTAGTGTGCATGGATTACCAAGAAGAAACTATTGGAAAAAGCAACAATCATAGCAAAATATAAACTTATTAACAAAACATCATTACACGTAATTGTTATCCGATGTAAAAAAAAAATTAACAAAACCAATTACAGTTAATTTGCAGATTCTGTCAAACGAAAATATAAATTGTTCCTTTTATATAATGTGCAGCCTTTTCCAAAGAACAATCCACATTAGTACAAAAAGCTAATTATGGCAGCATGTTTCAAAAAGCATGCCCAAATCCTCAAAGTAACTTCAAAACAAATGGTATAGCACCCAAAATATAAATTGCACATATAACATATTAGAGGATATTACGTGCTGTTGCACGTAAACGTGCGAAGTTTGATGTCAAAGATGGACCTTCTTGGTCTGGGTGCATGATATGAGCCCTGATATTCTGGTTCTCATGGAGACCTGGGTCAAGGGTTCGATCATGGCTAAGGACGTTGAAATTGCTGATTACAACATCTTCAGGTGTGATAGACTGAAAAAGAGTGGAGGGGTGTCTATATGTGAAATCGCCTCCTGTGGCATCATGTTCTCTAAGTGTCACTTTTCCATCCACAGTTTTTATGCCCGTAAAGTCATACCGTATAAAATGTTTTGGTACAATTTTATAAATGCTAACACATAATTTGTTCGTTTGACATGGCGGGATCTTTTTGTGTCTGTTAGATAAATGATGAGAGAAATGGCAGTGGAAATGTCTTTATGTGCAAATATTGATATAATAACCATCATGTCGAAGTAAACTTGGAGTCACGCAATATGGTGTGTGGTCCTCCCACTACGACCAGACTACGTCTCGGGAAACCATGCAGTTTATTAGGCTACAGAATAAATAAATTATGATGAACTTCACAGGGTGGTGAAAGTGTACGGTGATGAGCTTGATGCTACTTTCCAATAAATATTGAGGGTCTTATTCTGGTGACATAATGATAGATGCTTGACTGCCGTTTGACAAATATAATTATTCTCGCTCTTATGTAATCATTATGTAAACCACTGTATCTGCGAGTTGTTGGCTAGAGTGCATGTGCCAAGACCAGAGTAGGCACATTTGCTATTTAACGCAACAGTTTGTGACAAAACTATCGTTAGAGGTAGAGTTGAAAATGCAATATGGAAACACACTGAACTTTAGATTTTTCGTCCATACATGAAAACTTAAGCGAAAAAGTACATTTTGTGTGGACTATGTCATCATGCACTGATTTTTATCCACAAAAAGTATGTTTGGTGTAAACATCACTGCTGGTAAAATTTGCATATTTTCTTTATGCGGATTTTAGAATATTTGTATGAAAATCTGCCGCCAATTGGATGGAAACCTAGCTGCTACCCCCAAAACCAAAACATTTTTGAGTGTTTGATTTTGGATTTGGCTTTATGCCAAAATATGCATTTGTTTGTAGCAGAGATTTACCGTCCCCCTGCTGCACTGACTGATGCTGTTGATACTATTTCTGAATATTTAAAATATTTTCTGCCATCTGAATTTCTTATTTAAGGAGATTTTAACCTGGATTGGCTTACCCCGGCCTTTGATCATTTGAATAATATTTGTCTTGACTTTAACCTGACTCAACTAATCTCAGAACCTACACTGATTCATGTAAGAAACCCATGAAACTCCTCGCTGATTGACCTAATTCTGACAAATAGCCCCCACAAGTACTTATTGAGTGGTGTCTTTGCTAATGACATCAGTGATCACTGTTCTACTGCATGTATTAGAGATACAAAACAGAAAAACATTGATCCTCATATAATTATGAAGATACATATTTTTGTTTATTCTGCCCAGGTGTTTCTTCATGATATGTATAGCTCTGAGCTTTGCTCTATCAGCTGCATGCCTGACCCTGAATTGTCTCTAGAACATTTCTCATCTATTTTTATATCTATGGCAGACAAACACGCCACCTTTAAACGCCCTAGAGTTAAAAATAGAACAAATCCTTGGTCCTCTATAAAACTTTCAGATCTCATTATGATGAGAAATCAGGCCTGGGCCAAGGCTAGAAAAACTGACTCGGTAGCTGATTGGCA